TTGTCATCATCATGGTCACAGGCATCTCCCTTGCCGTCTTTGTCATGGTCAGCCTGGTTGGCATTGGGCACATAGGGACAGTTGTCGAGATTGTTCTGGTGGCCATCTTCATCAATATCCTGATTGTTGTCACAAGTGTCTCCAATGCGGTCCGAATCAGAGTCCAGCTGGAAGAGGCATAAATGAAGGGTACATCAAAATATGAACCATTAATATGAAAGAGCACATCTATGCCCATAATAGGGAAAATTTTCCAGTGTCTGATACGACCAGTGGGGTTTCATGCCTACTCACATACTACTGTGGAAAGATAGCAATATTAACAATTTCTAAAAGTTACTTTCATTGATCCTTGTTTTCACATGAAAATCTGAGAAGAACTATTTAGAAGGTTCTTTTTTTTTTAAATCTATAACTTGTTAAATAAAATTAAATGGTTAATCAGGAATTATAGATGGCAATATCAATTACTTATGCCTTCATGTTGAATGAAATTCTCTGGGCATGTTTTTTTTTTTTTTTTAAATTTCCCTTTGAAGGTTTGAGTTGTAAAAATCACTGACATGTCAATTTCCACTCTTAGGTCATGAAATCAAGGAAACCTTGTCTGTCTACTTGTTTGGTAGTAATCGATTTGTTTGTGTGTGTTTCTCTTTAGGTATTCGGTTTCAACAACTGTCCCCATTGGCTTGGTTGAAGTCAAACTACATTTGTTTCAGAACAGTTCTCCTCAGAGTACTTCAACAGTGTGCAAAATGCATTGGATTAAGGATCGTTTATGCGCGAACTGGAATTTTTCTTACTAGTGTTTATATTGTTTGCTTATAAGGTTTTTTAGATGCTGCTTGATTTTTGTTGTAAAATTTATTTTAGTCTGAAGAGCAAAAAAACTCATCCAGAGAAGTTAAATGATATTAAAGAAACTAAATTTATGGTAAGACCCAAACTCAAAATAGATCCTTAACACTGTCTGATCAACAAAGCTATCTCTGGATCATTCAAACTCCCTATGGTGGCTGCAAAGCTATCCATTCCGTTACTTTTTGCTTGTCAGGATGCTGTAGGGGTGAGTATTGAGAGCAGAAGACTGGGTTTCTAATTTCTTTAACCTTAGAAAAATGTTACAACGTTTTTTTTTAAAGCTTTCCCTTAAATTTATCCCTAGAAAATAATGATGGATAATTATGCAAAAAAGAAACACTTTCAGGGAAACTATTCAAGTAATGTCTATTTATAGTACTCCCTAGTATAGGTAAGGAATGATCTGTTTGTAATACCAGATAAGTTTGAAGAATGACAAATGATTTTTTTCCAGGTTTTGGAAGTATTCTTAGTTTGATGATTTTCGTACAGCCAGATGACATCACTAGCCATGAAGATGGTTGTTAATATTGCTAAAAGGATGTATGTCTTTTCTGTCTCAGTCTTAGATTTGACTAGCATTATTGTAAAGTTATCAGTTACAGATCTTTGCTTTATATAATTTATCTTGGTAGTAGATCATGCTGAGCAGATCAAGGAAGACCCTTAGACGACCTTCACACTAAAGATCTGCAAGACTCTCTGTCAGGAGCTAATGTCAGGCAAATTGTTTACTACAAGTATATTGCAATTGGCTATGAGAACATGAGAGCCATGGCCTAAAGTCTATTTAACTCGCTTCCAAAGGCCTAGAAAGGGAGATTCCCACACTGTTAGTGAAAGACTCTGGAAGGAGCTCGCCTACCTGATCTGGATTGTGTTCCAGGGGGCAGTTGTCACACTGATCTCCAACCCCATCCATATCGGTGTCCCTCTGGTCCACGTTGTAGACATACTGGCAGTTGTCTCGTTCGTTGAGGATACCTGCAGACAACAGGAGATTAGTAAGAGCCAGGACCTCCAGCCTAAACCACATACCATGGGCAGGCCAGGACTAGGGAGAAGAAAGCTGAGAGCTGCATGTATCCCCTGTTGCCTACATGCCTGCTTAACAGAGGAGCAACTTACCGTCTCCGTCAATGTCTGCAGCACAGGCGTCTCCTTCCCCATTGTTGTCTGTGTCCGCCTGGTCTGGGTTGTGGTTGTAGGGGCAGTTGTCACAGCGGTCTCCCACGTCATCTCTGTCATAGTCGTACTGGGCTGGGTTGTAATGGAATGGACAGTTGTCCTGCAAAGAGAAGAAATGGAGCACTTTACAACACTGTCAAGGAAATTAGCTCCAGCCTCAAACCACATGAATGATATGTATAAAACTGCAAAAGCCTATAATAGCTATTTTCTACTTAGTATACTTAGTAGATACTCTATTAGTCAGTGAGATTGAAAATATAACCTTATCATCTCAGTTCTCAGTATGCCCAAAGTAAATTTTAATTTAGAGAGAGCATATGAAAGGAATCTGGGGAACAAAGCATTTGTTTATACATTATAGTTTCTCCTTCAAATGAGGGGAAGAAAAGGTTGTGATGAAATGAAACACTCATTTAAAATTTTTCTTGGCCACATCGATCTCCTCAAACAACAGAAACACAATAATTTCTAATTATCCTATGTATCAGTTGGGTATATTTTTTGCTATAACCCATAATTCCTTGATTCCTAACATGTTTTAGGCTGTTGTTAAACTGAAAAGATGACAGAGAATGGAAAACATGGTTTTTACCCGATCGTCTGGAATTTTATCATTGTCATCATCGTCGTCACAGGCATCGCCGATTCCATCCTTGTCATAGTCTTCCTGCCCCGAGTTGGGAAGGTTGGGGCAATTATCCTGGGAAAGAGAAGACACATGTTACAGCTGCCGTTGTATTCCCTTCACTCCACACGTGAGAAGGCATACCAGATATTCCAAACAGGAAAAGGATGTGAAAGTCTGTCCCTAACAGACTTCGTTTTTATGGGAAGACAAAAATTTCATATTTATGAGAATGAATCCCCTTCTTCCTTTGGGAGATTTCATCTTTGAGTTTTCCTTCCAAACTTATAAGTTTTTAAAATTCCCTAGCCTATTCTGTTGATCAGGGTGATGGTTCTTTCTGGAGGCACGTCAGGGAAGCCGGCTCTTCTTACCTTTTTGCAGTGGTAGGTTGCATTGGCCACACAAACTAGGTTCTCATTGGGCCAGCCATCAAGGTCCGTGTCCTCCCCGCAGATGATGCCATTGCCAGCGTAGCCAGGCTTGCACTCGCAGCGGTACATGGGGTCACTGTAGTGGCCCAGGTAGTTGCACTTGGCGTTCTTATTGCAGTCGTGGGTCCCATCTGTGCAAGGGTTGCGGGGTTTGCACACCTAAGGGAGTAGATACCATCCTGATGTTAATGCAGAGTTGCACAATTTTTCTCTGTAGGATTTACCACAGATGTTCTAGCTACGTTTCCATAACTAGATTGTACATTCATTCTGTTTTTAGGGAAAGGCATGGGATTACACCCCTCCCTGTTCCTGTTGTTTGGTCAAGGCTACCTCTCCTCTACTGGTTCTGCTAGTCCTCTGTACTATACCTGTTTGTTGGCTGTGGCATGTTCGACGCCCCTGCCGAAGGGCTGTGAGCCCGTGAAACGTGGTGGGCAGGGCAGGCAGTTGTAGCCGGGGTCTGTGTTCTTACACCTGTGCTCTCCATTGTGGTTGAAGCAGGCATCGGGCACTTCTTTGCACTATGGTGGAAACAAGAGTTGGCTTAATGTTTCAAAAACACTGCCAGAAGGGGGTGACAGGGACAGGGTAGCTGCTTTCTTCAGTCTGGTAATTCTGAGCATCTTTCTCACCTCATCAACATCTCTGCATTGGATGCCATTTCCACTGTATCCAGGGGGACAGGCACCGCACTTCCAGCTGCCATCAGGGTAGCTAGTACACTTGGCACCGGCGAAGCAGGGATTGGACAGGCATCCATCTGAGACAGGGTGACAGACAGGTAAAGAGCTGGTCTAAGCTGCTGTACTTAAAAAGCAATACTGTTTAAGATATTGGAGGTACTATGTAACTGGAAATGTATTGAGATGACACTGTCCACCAGCATTTAACCAAACACTCAGGACCAGTCAAAGCTGGAACTCCCTGCAGTGCTAACTGTGGTATTCAGTTAAACAGCAGATCCTATAGGGCGGCATGGCTCACCGATTGGACAGTCTTGCTTGTTGCAGATCTGGTTTTCTGACATATCGCCGATGCAGTCCTTGCCCCCAAACTGGGGTGTGGGGTTGTTGCAGAGTCGGCTACGTTTCTGCACCCCTCCTCCGCAGGTGACAGAACAGATGTCCCACAGTGACCAGGGACCCCAGCCTCCATTGACTGTAAGAAAATGAACCACATGCAAAAATGAAGGTCAAATTTCAAACACTTTACCCATCAGAGAAGGCTCTCCTAAGCTCCTTCAAGAAACCTCTGCTATCCTGGGAACCAGCAGTTAGCATAATGGCTATGTCGCTGGACTCCCACGTAGTCGACCGCAGTTCGTGTCCCGGACCCGGTGGCTTAAAACTCACGCCGGGCGCGTGCGTGCCCAAGATCCCGAGAGGAGAATGGAGGAGAAGGGATTGCGGCGTGACCATCCCCCCCTGGGGGGTGATTTCTCTCTTTCTGTCTCTATGTCTCTCTGTCTGTCTGGCGAGCGCACGCGCCCTACTTCTGCTATCCTGATGCATGAAAGAATGTTTTGGAAAGGGTGAGTTTGGAGTTGTTTTTCTGTTTTTCATTAAAGGAAGCTGCTGAGCAAGCAGGACTTTGCTTCTGTTTGTTTCTCTAGTAAGTAACCCCCTCCATGACCCACTGAACTGGAGCTGCAGATGCCAGGCAACCAGCTGGGCAGAGCTGCCGCCCACGCTCAGCCTTGCAGCCAAGCTCACACTTACTGGGGCAGGCATCTTTCTTGCAGGCCTTGGTCTCTCGAGCTTCGCCTTCACATGGTTTCCCATTCATCTGGGGGCTGGGAGAGTTGCAGAGCCGGATCCTGGTGATCACGCCATCACCACAGGTCACAGAACAAGATGACCACGGGGACCAGTGGCTCCAGCCGCCATCCTGTTTAACTAAAGTGCAAAGCCTGACGGTCACAAACAGTGCTGGCTTGGAGTAGAAACCCTCCTCGGGAGCATAGAGAAATGTTTCCAGGACATGGACAATGGCAACTAAACCCAGTGTGAGTAGAAATCTGCTCTTAGACATGTCCAGATGCCAGCATGGAATGCTTTCTACCGGAGGACAGGACGGATAATATCTAGAAAAATTTTCTGTTCATAATGGTGCTCACCATGAGCCAATCCCTGTGCCAACTGCTTTCCATGCATTATCCAAATAAAATGCTCAAAATAACCTTATCAAGAACGCACTATCCCCAAGTTGCAGATGAGGACAGAGCCTCAGGGAGGGTAAGCCGTGTTCAAGGGTGCAGAGACGAGTGGCAGAAGTGGGATTCGGATCCAGGCGCTCTAGAACCTGTGCTCTGAACTTGCACGCTATGGGGCTGTCCTGATGACGGAGAGGCCAGGCCAGGCCCTCACACTGCAAGGGGCTAGGATACTTACATCTCTTGTCACACTCCTGAATGTGGCAGGTCCGCGTCTGCACCGAGGAGCCCTCACATCGGTTGTTGAGGCTATCGCAGGAGCGGCCACGCTGCTGAATTCCATTCCCACATGTCACAGAACAGGAGGTCCACTCAGACCACGGAGACCAGCCATCATCTGCAGAGTCGCTAGCTGTGGGGACACGGGATCGTTCAGGACAGGAAGACGAAGATAAGCAATTCTTTAGCCTCATGGTGGACCCTCCCTTGCCAGAGGAGGGGGGGAAATCAATGTATTTCCTTTCTCCTACCCCTGCCAAAGCTTTACTGAGGTAAAACTGACAAAACTATATCAGCATGGTGTTCTTACATAGGCACACACTGTGAAATGACTGTCAGTATCAAACTAACATCCATCATCTGACATGCGGTATGGCAATTTAAAATCCGTTTAGCACATTTCAGGTATAAAATTCAGAATTACTAACTACAGTCAGCGGGTACATGGTGATCTCCAGATCTTAGTAACAAAGGCTATCAAGTTTCATTTACACGGGATGAAAAGCAATGCATTTCTCAGGCCAACAGCCAAAGGTTTACGGCTGGCCATTCTGTGGGGTGATGGGGTGCCCTGTCTGGGCTAGTACAGCTGAGCCTTCTCAGTGAATTTTCTGCTCTTCATTGTTTTCTCCTTTCTCCTCTCTCAGCATTTCAAATGAGTTTCCCCTTCCTGGCTTAAAATATCTAGGTAGGCATTTCCAGTCTCTGGCTTCCAAGAATGCTAGCATTTTAGACAGCTTCTAGGAGCCCCTTCTGACTGCCAGGGAAGCCTCAGATCATGTGTTTGACAGATGACTTTGAAGGTAGCTTGGCTGCTGTTGGCTCCGGCTCTAGCGTGGTCATAAGGTTAGTCAATTTGTTGTTCCTCTCACTCCAACATTTGGGGCCTTCTTTGTACATATTTTCACAAGAGGAGAATGTGTTTGTTTATCATCTGCCCGGGCGCCATGACTACAATCACATCTAGCTAGCTATATGAGACTGAACACAGAGAACTTGTTTTCTTTTGTCATCAGCTGGGAGTTTTCCTAGCAAACCCTGATTCAAGTTCAATATTCTGCTAGCCCCCACCTAGCTTTATTCCCTTTAAGGCATACCTGAAGTGAATGCTGAACAGCAGCAGACATACGAATAATCATTACAGCGTCGGCATCGCTAACGTGATCCCTGGATGGGATTGGCTATTCTAGGTTGTGACCAGTGTGGGTGCGCCTGTGTGTGCGCCTGTGTGTGTGTGAAGGGCAAGTGCTGCTCCCCCGTTTTCTTCCTTATCTCAGTTGTGATGAGTCATTTTTATGACTTGTGCCTATGACATTAAACATTGTCTCAACAAAGTGATTTGACTAGCAATAAAAGCCAGGGGCAGGGTGCCACAGAACGATACTGTGCCTTATTTCTTTTAGTGTCCTGAAACTCAAACTGATGTTACTCTCTTACACTTCCTATCCCTGCAAATTAAAACGAGTAGAACTTTCAGCTGCAGTTCAGTTCATGATCACACCATAGGCATTTCTCTGGTAAGCAGATTTTTCTTAACTTGGTATTGCTAGGTCAAATTCTAAAAGTAGTTCACTTAGAGTGACGGGGCAACACATCATCTCCTTTCCCCAAAGCATAGAATCAGATTCAATAAGCCGCCCCGAGGTCATTATCGCCTACACTGCCATCCAGATGGGTGATGACGACTTAGTGTAGAGTTTCTAGCTGTGTGCCAGAGGCAAGCCATTAGCTCACCAGCTGCAGCGGCATGAAACTGAATGAAAACCTGATGGTTTGGGGTGCCAGTGTCTTGCCCAGCTGTCCGGGATGTATGCAGAAGTGACCTAGTCACGGAAGAAGGACTGTGCCATCTTAGGAACTTACGCCAACAACGTGGGCAGCATTCTCCATCAGGAACTGTGGCATTGGAGCAGGGCATAATGGGGCAGGATACCTTTTTGCAGATGGTGACTGAGTTCTGCAGGACCAGAGAGTGAGGGCAATGGGTTACTGAGCATATCGCAAACAGAAGTTTACCAACTAACATTTCCATTATGAGCAAAAGCGTGGTCTGGGCTAGGAATACTCTAGTGGAATGATAATAGATCTGTCTGTTACATTTGCAGCTACACTGTCATAAGGACAGCTGTAGTACTAATTACTTGTCATCATTCCATTCCTTGGTGAGTTCTTTTTAATTGCTACTAAGTCCAGAGTGGAAGTTAGAGCATAGAGAATATAAAGGGACCAGCACATGGCCTGGGTCAGTCCTACAGCAGAAATAGAATTTGCAACATTCAGCAAGTACTTCTAACGATATTTTCTCTCTGGAGGAAGAACAAGATTTCTAAGCATTTTTTTTTTTCCTCATCTGTACGTCTGGCTTTATACTTTTATACTACGGTAGAGAATGAGAACTTAATGATGTTGGCTTCCAAATTCAGTAATCTGATTAGTATTTACACTTGACTTTGCTCAATGAATTAGGTAAGCCCTAGACTCACCTGTCCCTGGTGTGGGGGACACTAGAGTGAAGCACACACAGAGGGCAGGGCCATTTAAGGGGAAAGTGATGCCCTAACACGGGGCTGAGTGGGTTGAACAATTGGTCTCCATGTCATAGCTGAGTACAAATTAGGGTGGGAGTGGGGGAGAAGGACTGTTCCAACCAGACTTTATTCACCTGACATTACACTTAGCCTTTGAACTAAAGCAGGTGAATTATTCAGATGTCTTAGGAGATTTATTCTCTCAGATACTTAGGCTAGGGTATCATTAATACTTTGAAAAACTCGCAAGATTAAAGAACTTACAGATGCTATAATTACATCTTAAAGGAAAACACACACACACACACACACACACACACACACACACACTTGGTATCAGGCTATGAAACATAAAAGAACTTGTGTGGCCATTTGGGTATTTCCCCAGAGAGGTGGCTTCACACACAAGCCATCCATTCTAATTTTAGTGTGGAATGATTCCTTACCTGACAGCGACACTCAGTGCAGCTATCAACAGTCCATTCTTCGTTATTCCTGTACTGAACGCCGTTGTGATAGCAGAGGGGAGGCCTCCTCAGCTCATTGGCCAGCTCTTTGTTCTCTTCAGTCTAAAAGGGAAAGAATAATCATTAGTGTCCAGGCTCACTTTCGGCCATTTAGAACCATCTGGATGGACCTTAAGGGCTCATGCCGATGGGCTGGGAGTGGAGCCACTGACCACTTTGCGGATGCTGTCCTGCAGTGTGGTCACGATGGTGCGCAGGCCCCTGAGTTCCAGCACCATGTTGGACAGCTCATCACAGGAGATGCCACAGATGGCTTGCAGATCCTTTGTCTTGTGGCCGATGTAGTTGGTGCGGATGGCAGGGCTGGAACCGTTCACCACGTTGTTGTCGAGGGTGAGAAGGACATTGGTAGCTGCCAAAAAAAAAAAAAAAAAAAAAAAAAAAAAAAAAGGAGAAA